TTCTCTCCATGTGTCACGTGTGAGTGCATCTTTCTCTCCATGTGTCACGTGTGAGTGCATCTTTCTCTCCATGTGTCACATGTGAGTTCATCTTTCACTCTGTATGTCACGTGTGAATGCATCTGTCTCTCCATGTGTCACGTGTGAGTGCATCTTTCTCTCCATGTGTCACGTGTGAGTGCATCTTTCTCTCCATGTGTCACGTGTGAGGGCATCTTTCACTCCGTTATGTCATGTGTGAGGGCATCTTTCACTCCATGTGTCACGTGTGAGGGCATCTTTCACTCCATGTGTCTCGTGTGAATGCATATTTCTCTCCATGTGTCACATGTGAGTGCATTTTTTACTCCATGTGTCACGTGTGAGTGCATCTTTCACTCTGTATGTCTCGTGTGAGTGCATCTTTCAGGGCACACAAAAAGTGAATTCTGCCCAAATCTTCAGATGGACCCAGCAGTTGTTGCTGAGGTGCAATGATAGTTCTTCACATACACAAACTTTTTATCAAGAAACAAACACAATCCTGCCTAGTACAGTTTAAGTTTTTACGATATTAAATTGTTTTCATGAGGTGACCAGTGGTGTCAAAACCTAGAGTCATGGGGTCATAGAGGCTGCTGTCAGTGGTTTCTCTAGTTTCATTTGTTTTGCTGGTTTCACTGGTTTATCTGGATTCACTGGTTTTGCCGGTTTCATTGTTTTCACTGATTTTGTTGGTTTCACTAGTGGTCTTGTGTACTCACTTTGTATGCCGCTGTTTTTTAAAGAAAACTTTTTTGTGGAATGGCGGTTTACTGTGACGTTTGGTGCCTGAAGTTGGATTCAAACCTGCGTCAGGTGATCTGCCCTGATGAGCATCCAGTAGTGCAAATGTGTAAAATACCCTGTGCTGGATGGGGGCTGTTTGCCTGTGACTTGAATCCCAGGCTGAGGGGGCGATATGTGTGGTTCCAGAGGCCGACTTTGTGGGATCCGCCATGCTGCGGGAGAGCATCAACAGCTCCATTGGGGATGATGACAAGATCTACTTTTTCTTCACGGAGAGGAGTCAGGAGCAGACGGCCTACTACAGCCAGACCAGAGTGGCCAGGGTGGCTCGCGTGTGTAAGGTGCGTCAGCCGTAACGTTAAACAGACATCGACAGATACCAGCACCCACGTCACCGCTTACCGTCACCATGACAATGTCCAAATCCACCTTCATCTCCACCACTGGTGGCTTTGATAAAGTTGATGATGCAGTGACTGTTCCTTCCTCTATAGAAGCTTGGTTCTAATGTGATTAATGCTCCCTCCATGGATCTAATGAGACGGAACACTCACTCTGAGAGTGCATGGTTCTGATGAGATTGACGCTTCCTTGCAGAAAGCATGGTTCTAGTGAGACGGAACACTGCCTCACAGACAGCATGGTTCTAATGAGATTAATACTCCCTTGCAGAAAGCATGGTTCTAATGAGACGGAACACTGACTCTGAGAGTACATGGTTCTGATAAGATTGACGCTCCCTTGCAGAAATCATGGTTCTAATGAGACTAATACTCCCTCGCAGAAATCATGGTTGTGATGAGATTGATGCTCCCTCTCAGATAGAAGCATTCCTACCAGGTGAATGTTTGCTCTCAGAACGCATGGTTCACGCTGTCTCATTATTGCACACAGCCCTTGCAGATACTCCAGTCAGCTCCTACCAAAGGTTAGTTTCTGGTCCCCAGTCAGGACTGCTTTTAAATCCACGGCCGATGCTGCACTGACTGGTAACCAGGCCAGCGAATACATCAGGCCTCAGAGTGGAGGGACGATGCTGAGCTGCGGCGGTGTAGGTCCGCCGGTGTCCCCCGCCGGCTAAATGGCCGTCACATGACTCATGGCGTGGGGGCAGGGAACAGTCAAAGTGGCGGTCAGAGAACACGGGAGCAAGGAGCATGTGCAGGTCGGGCTCAGCAAATCCCAAAAAATGCAGGGAGAGAGAGCCCCCATCCAGGTGATACTCCTGGCCGCTCCGGCCCCTCTGGCCCTGAGCTTTTGGATCCAATCCTCTGATGGCTGAAGAGTAATTAGAGGGATAATTAATATGGTAACGAAGACTCAGCATGAGCCATAATGTTTAAAACACGTGATGCAGTAGCAACACAGACAAGGCTGAGGTCTGCCTAACGGCACGTGTGTGTGTGTGTGTGTGTGTGCGTGTGTGTGCGTGTGTGTGGGAATCTCGTTTGTCGCCTCGGTGCGGGCATGCTGCCGCTCGCCTCTGCACCCGTGCGTGTCTGTGTTCTTTCCCTCGGGAGCTCAGAGCTCTTGCCCAATCTCGGGGCAGGCTGGTCTGAACTCGCTCCGTGTTTGATGGTGAGCCCAGATACGGCAGGAGGGACAGGGCACATCTGGGAAGTTCATTCCGAGGTTTCAGCCCCGCGACGTTTGGATGGATCCCTCCGGCATATGATGTCATTTACTGCAGCCCACATCACTCTGCATGTGACCTTTGACCCTTGTCTCTGATCCATTTCCTTAATTAATAGAGCAGCGACTGGCCACCAGAGTTTGATTTAGTTACCCCCCCCCCCCATCATAAAGCTCAAGAGAGTGTGACTGTGGTGCCCCCCCCTTACCGACCGCCGCTCCTCCATCTGCTCCTCCAGGGGGACTGGGGGGGCCAGCGCACCCTGCAGAAGAAGTGGACCTCCTTCCTGAAGGCTCGGCTGCTGTGCTCCATCCCCGACTACGAGTTCCACCTCAATGTGCTGCGTGACGTCTTCGTCATGGAGGCCCCAGGACAGGCCTCCCAGGACAGCATCTTCTACGGCATCTTCGGCCTGGAGTGGTGAGGCTGGAGCGGGATTTGGGGAAAGGGCGGGTCATGAGGGGAAGGAGGAGAAAGCCATTGGTAGAGCCAGCCCTGGGGGCGGGATTTGGGGAAAGGGCGGGTCATGAGGGGAAGGAGGAGAAAGCCATTGGTAGAGCCAGCCCTGGGGGCGGGATTTGGGGAAAGGGCGGGTCATGAGGGG